ATCACAAGAACAGGAACAACTAGCAGAAACATTGTGGACTCTATAGGTCAAGTAAAACAAACAACAGAGTCAGTGTGCTAGTGATTTCAATTATTTGCATCTTGGAAACAAACGTGAGAATAGATCTCGGAGTAGGCCAGCAGGAAACTATAATCTGCAGTAGCATAGCAGTAATCACTTTGCCGCCACAAATATTGACCAGGAACAGTACAGAAGAAGTAGTTTTCTGTGTTTCTCGTTCTCATGAAACAAGGGTTCGACCTGTGAAGTATGCTTCTAGCTTGTTTGCCCCTCTCCTTCCCCTTTGAACGCCGGCCATACAGGCTATTTCCTTGTGAAATAACAGCTTCTGCTGAACCAAATTCAACCAAGTGTGTTTACGAAATTGAGGTAGGCTCTGATTTACGCGAAACTGTCAATATAGATATTCAGGATACGGTCAATAGCGCGACGATGAACAGATATGCCAAGATCCTGCTTTAGACCCCAGAAGACCTGGAGAAGAGATCACTCTACCTGGAGTTTGAATCCTTAGTTTTTAAAAATCGTTATGTCATGTTAAGATGAACTCCTGTCTCGTGTAGTTCCAGCCATTATTTTACACAATAGCAAGGCCAGCTTTGACTAGTCCGAGGGGTTATTGTCGATTTTTTTCAATCGCTAACAATCGATATTCCTGAAGACAGGGATTATCAATTTTTATCGATTGTTGCCAATCCTGATAGCAATCGATAAACTGAAGAATTTTTTTCTGTGAGTTCGATTCTTATCGATTCTCCGTTGATTGTTATCGATTGAATTGATTTATTTCCGATATCGATTTTTATCGATTGGCTTCGCCTGGTTTATTTAGGTTAACGATATCAACAACGAAATGCACTGGAGCTCGCCTGAACTGACCAAATACTACAGTGATGACCACCAATGCATCCTGCCGTATCGAGTGAAGTCACCTTAAATCATACATCTCCAACCTATTGCTTACCGTTTCAGGTTGTTGTTAAAGACAGTCTCACTGAACTGCTGAGTGGAAAAAACCAGACTTGAAAACTGTGCAGAAGGCCTTCACTAGTGCATCATCCTATATCGTCTGTGACTTGCGACATAAAATTTAACTGAGCCGGTATTGATATATGGAACTGTGAAATTTACATCTCCCGCAAAATTTTGTGTTAGGGATGCAAAATTCTGTATTCCCAGACTGTCAAGGAGTCTTAAGCTTGACATTCTATGTGTGATACACATTCCCCTACTGTTAAGTAAATTGGCTGCTATAAACATAAGACATACTATGAAGATAACAGGCTGTAGCTCCATAGCAATGGAGTAGGCTTCAGTTGCATTTACACGCGACTTTGATTAGCATACGTGCATATTACATGGTTAATCATGCACACCCTTGTGGCCTTGTCACCAAAAGAATCGAAAGGAGAATTATGAAGAAGCCGTGGATACATTGCTAACAAAATGGAAGATGTCTGCTTGGATCAACTGCTACAAGGTTTTGAACGGATAATGAACAAGGTCATGCAAAAAAGACAAAATAACTCTGCCCTTGAAGCATAACATTTCTAGTTTTGTTTATTATAATTTAAACGTTTATCCACCCCCGAAAATTAAATACTTGAAATATTTTTTTGACACCTTTGCGATCTTTACGAATTTCCCGGAGCTCCTAGCCCATCAGGGACTTTTTGCGTTACCCTACCGTAGATAATTTTATTTATATAGTTTTCTAACTGCGTTTCGTGCTTCTGGCGACAAGAGTGTTTTGTTTGGATAGACTGTTAAGTTGTGCTATTGACGTTTCCAATAGCTTTGTTTATGTTTGATTTAAAGACTGTTTTTCAATCTCTTCATACAAAGTTAAATCTTTTAGTCTTCAAACAGCTACTAGCAATGACTCAGTTACATATATGTGCTGACCGTAACGAGAATCAATCGATGGAAAGCCGATGTTTATTTCAACGTAGTACGTTGCGTACCCTAAATTCATTTACTTTTGTTTAATGTTTATCACCGTCAAAGCTATCGCATGACTGAATCTAGGACAAATCGATAAATTCGCGATAAAAATCTAAAAAATTAACAGTAGTTAACAGTAAACGATAAGGTGATAACTTGGACTTACCGAACTTTCCTTAAGATATTTTAGTCGATTAGCCGGCGGGTCAACGGAATAGGTGCGCGAGAGAAACTCTTTCCGTACCAATTTTTTCTGATCCAAAAGGGCGAGATTTTTATTTTGGAAGTGCCTGAAATTCCGAAGACGTAAGATAAGGGAGGCTTTGCATTTAAAAAATAAATCAATCCCAAAGAAGCGTTCTTTCTGCTACTTCCTGAGTAAAAATATTAGTCTGTCGACGGCCATGTTACCTAACCAAAAATACCGGCCTCATAGTTGTCAACTGGAACAATGGGTTTAAAAATGGAAATATACTGAAGAACATAGATGACTAGGTCAAACGACTAACCTGTCTATCTTTGTCTAACAACTGATTTCCCATTGGCCAAATATGAGTGCAGCTGTCCTGTAGCAACGAGTATAAAAAAGTGTAACGCCAATGCAACGTCGTTTACGAGGACAGATACAATGAAGATTTCCGAAGTTATTTCGGAGTAGCTCGAAAACTGCCGACGGCCATTTGAGGTTAGTTTCAAAGCAGGTCGAAAATAAATGGAAGATATTCGAACACCTTGGAAGATCACGACAGCCCTTGCACAGTTCACTCGAAGATATTCGATGATCATGAGTTGCCAGCATTATCGGAATGTTTGTTAATACCTTCGAAACTTGCAGAAGATAAATGAACTTCATTTATTTTCTAACTGTTGCCTAAGTAACCAATGAATAGCGAAAGACGCCATGGATTTCTTTTTCAAACAAGTAATCACATATGTTTTTTCTCGTGCATATTTGAATAAATAAGCACTTGTAAGTTTTCCAAATTATCCTTTGTAATTGCACTCGAAATCGTGTGATTACGTATGCAAAATAAATAATAAGACTCCCTTGATATTGATTATAACGCTCGCCGATAGAATTCATGACTGAAAGTAGCGTGAATGTCGATTAAAACTAAGATGGTTACGTTTTCTTAAAGAATGCCACCGAAACTTACACGAAGGCAATTTTGTTTTCTTGATTTCTCTCTGTTATGGTTCAGTGAGGATGCCGTGGGCGATGGAATGAATATTCCTGAAATTATTTCGCAGTTTCGTGTCAAGTTTTTATTAACGCAAGGACATCTTTGACGAAAGACATCAATTTTCCAAGGATTTCAACAATTCATTGACTGACCATTGCGAATATTGAGACATCAGATGTGAACAAAACGCCATTCACAGTACATGTACTGATTCACGTTACGCTTGGGCATGACACCAATGAACCATAGCGCCGTTCTCTGTAAGAATTTCCCTTTTACCAGACTTGATTTCAAGCTTGTTACGACTTTAGTAATGTAGTGTTTTTAAAACGTGGACAGTTTGAGAGACGTTGATTACTTTGTCTGTTTATCGTGGCGCCATTGACGGAGTACCACAGTCTAGCTGATAGGACCTCAAGATGTTGTTGTCTTTAGTGAGGGAGAGCTGCAAATCGGGGTATCGCACTCGCCATTGTAATTCCCTTCTAACAGACATTAAGAATATAGGAATTTTTTTTTCTGATAATGGTAGATAATGAAAACTTCTCCTGTAACTTTGGATCAGACATCATGGCACGAATAATGCACTTGGATGCTAATAATTCCTTTCGCTCTTCCCTTCTTTGCTCTATCTTCTCCCTGTGCTCGGAGGAAAGCCCGAGACAGTCTAGATCTAAGTTGTACACTGGTTGGCTAGTTGGGTTCAGAGTTTTGCAGCAAATTAAAAAAGCCTCGAGCTCTGATGCATTTCGTGAAAGGACCGTCCACACGACAGCAAAGAAAGACGGCTTTTAGGACGGAACGGCCTCGTCAGAGCTCAAGATTCTCTGAGACAATGGCTTTTCTGGCCCATTGTAGCAATCATTCTACCAATATGGAAATTTCGTTTCGAAATGAAAGAGTGCCTTCCTTCATNATTTCTCTCTGTTATGGTTCAGTGAGGATGCCGTGGGCGATGGAATGAATATTCCTGAAATCCTTTCGCAGTTTCTTGTGTCAAGTTTTCATTAACACAAGAACATCTTTGATGAAAGACATCAATTTTCGAAGGACTTCAACAATTCAACGACTGACCATTGTGAATATTAAAACATCAGATGTGAACAAAACGCCCTTCACAGTACATGTCTGATTTACATTACGTTTGACACCAATCAAGCGTAGCGCCGTTCTCTGTAAGAATTTCCATTCTACCAGACTTGATTCCAAGCTTGTTACGAATTTAGTTCTGAAGAGACGTTGAGAGACGTTGAGTACTTTGTCTGTTTATAATGGTGCCCTTAATGGAGTACCACAGTCTAGCTGATAGGACTTCAAGATCGATGTTGTCAGCAGCAAATAAGGGAATCGTTTACGCAATATCGCACTCGCTATTGTAATTCCCCTCTAAGTATGAAGATTATTTTTTTCTGATAATGGTAGATAATGAAAACCTCTCGTGTTAACTTTGGATTAGATATCAGGGCACGAATGATGCACTTGGATGCTAATAACTCCTTTCGCTCTTCCCTTCTTTGCTCTATCTTCTCCCTGTGCCCCGAGGAAATAGGAAAGCTTGAGATAGTCTAGATCTAAGTTGTACACTGGTTGGCTAGTTGGGTTTAGAGTTTTACGGCAAATTAAAAAAGGCTCGAGCTCTGATGCATTTCGTGAAGGGACCGTCCACGGGGCAGCAAATAAAAGCGGCTTCTAGCACGGAATCCTCGTCAGAGCTCAAGATTCCCTGCCGGACACAATGGCTTTTCTGGCACATTGTAGCAATCATCCTACCAATATGGAAATTTCATTTCGTAACGAAGAAGTGCTTTCCTTGATATCTTATTTCACTGAGATAGCAATACATTTAGTTACCTTAGTAGACGGCCTTTCAGACCTCATCTACAGTTTCGGTCAAGATCATCCGCAAAGCTTGCATGGCCAACACAGTTTCAAGAGATCTTCAAGGAATTTAAGATCATGAACATAAACAATAATGTTTATGGTTTATT